GACCATTATGCCTACAGACTACATTACTTCGAGTTCGAATCATTCACTTGACTACTAAGCCTACGAGCTACTTTTATTTCGAGTTCGAGCAAAAACTCACTCGACCATTACGCCTATGGGCTATATTACTTCGAGTTCGAATCATTCACTCGACTACTAAGCCTACAGGCTACTTTTATTTCGAGTTCGAGCAAACACTCACTCGACCATTACGCCTACGGGCTACATTACTTCGAGTTCGAATCATTCACTCGACTACTAAGCCTACGGGCTACTTTTATTTTGAGTTCGAGCAAGCACTCACTCGACCATTACGCCTACGGGCTACATTACTTCGAGTTCGAATCATTCACTCAACTACTAAGCCTACGGGCTACTTTTATATCGAGTTCGAGCAAGCACTCACTCGACCATTACGCCTACGGGCTATATTACTTCGAGTTCGAATCATTCACTCGACTACTAAGCCTACGGGCTACTTTTATTTCAAGTTCGAGCAAACACTCACTTGGCCATTACGCCTACGGGCTACATTACTTCGAGTTCGAATCATCATTCGACTACTAAGCCTACGAGCTACTTTTATGTTGAGTTCGAGCAAGCACTCACTCGACCATTACGCCTACGGGCTACATTACTTCGAGTTCGAATCATTCACTTGATACTAAGCCTACGAGCTACGTTTATTTCGAGTTCGAGCAAGTACTCACTCGACCATTACGCCTACGGGCTATATTACATCGAGTTCGAATGACTCACTCAACTAATAAGCCTAAGGGCTACATCACTTCAAGTTTGAGTAAGCCTATGTTCAAACAATCACTCAACTCGACTACTAAGCATATGAACTACCTTATTTCAAGTTTGAGTAAGCACTCACTCGGTTATAAAGGCTACGAAGTCCAAATTTGATTAAGTTGCCTAAATCCTTGGAAAAATATTCATAAGGCGTGAATAAAATCTTCACAAGACAGGAAACAGAACAGAAGCAAGTCGGTAAAAAGGGATATTTCTTATATACAAATTTTTTTACATGATTGATTACAACATAAAAATTAAGGACTAAGCTTCCTGGTTATCCGCAGGAGCGGTCTCTTCTCTATCGGGCTCCCCCCCATTCTCGGACCCGCTCTTACTCCCATCGTCATCATCATTATCATCATCATCATCGTCATCGGAAACCAACGCTTCAGCATCAGCTTCGAGTTCTTTAGCCCTTTTTATCTCTTCAGCGAAGTAGAAACTTCGAGCATAGATCTCCTCGAGGGTCTCCCTCCGAGATCGGCACTTAGCAAGTTCAGCGACCCAATGTGCTCGAGTATCGGTGGTCTCAGCTGCCTCTCTTGCTTGGACCTGGGCAGCTTCAGCATCGTCCCGATAGACGTCCACGAGTGCATCCGCATCGGCCTTGGCAAGTTCAGAGGCCAACCGAGCCTCAAGCTCCTCTATTCTTCTTTCTTGGACCGAGCTTTTCTCCTTCATTTTTTGAAGTTGGTTTTCGGTCGATGACAATTGGGCTCGAGCGGTTTCTTTCTCTGCAGCAAAGCGGTCCATTCTTTCTTTCCACTTCAAAGACTCCGCTCTTATCACATCGATTTCTTTACGGAGTTTTCCGATCATCTCAATTTTCTGCTGTAGCTGTGAGACCGAAAAATTAGCCATCGTTCCGGTATCGAGCCCATAGGCTTTTAAAAGCATTATTACTTGCTCGGATAGATCGATCTGATCTTGGTGAGCCCTGGCCAACTCAGCTTGGAGGTCTTTTATTTCCTCTCCCCTTTGGCCTAAGAGGAGTTTTAATGAGTTCCTCTCCTCCGTAACCCGTTGAAGCTCAGCCTCGTATCGACGCAGCTCAGTTCGGGACCAAGAACATGATTCTCGATGAACTGCTGCAGCCTGTAAAGAAAGAAGAAACGAAATCAAAAAAGAAAAGCAATTTTAAAGGTAATGCCATATAATTTAAGGCTTACCTGATTCAAGGCCTGCCGCACTCCGTGAAAAAGATCTGATGCGTTAATTGTACCGGTAGTGTCTTCGACACTGATAAACAGGTCACAAAAAGGATCCTCTCCATCATGAGACCTATCTAATTCGAGGGCCCCCAAAGCTTGGGCTTCCCGAATCGCCCCTGCGGAAAAAGTAGGGAAGGTGGGCAAGTCTTCGATTGCTACTGCCCCAAATGAATCACCTGAGGCATTCTCTTTGGTTCGAAAAGATTTGGGAAGAGCCCCTTCAGACATATCCTCCATCCGTCGGCTTCGATGGGAGTCGATCTCTGGCAATTCGGGGACTCTACTCGAATCTCTCCCCGATATATCCTCAGTTCGAGGTGGAGCCTTATGAACCACCATCGACCCAACTGCTTGTGGGACGTCGGTGGTCTTCTTTGTTCGGGCCGCCAGCGCAGACCCATCGTTCTCTTCTTCTTTTTCATCCCTCAGACACAGAACTGATGCTACGGTCGAAGGAAAGATATTCTTGTTCGGCTTACGAGCAGTCCTCTTCTTCGATTTTTGATCTTCGAGGACATGGGCTCGTTTCCTCTTATTATTTTTCACCGGCTTTGAGATAGAGACCGAAGCCTCTTCCTTGATAGATGAGGGCCTCAAAACTGCATCTTTGCCCACACCTGCATACGGAAAATTTTATTGAAGTGTGTGAAAAGCATCTTATTCAAATTACCAAAAGATATGAGAAAGGTGCTTACCGTAATTTTTGTCCTCCCATCGACTCTTTGACAAGTCGCGCCATGAGCGCTCGGTGTATGAGGAGGTCGAAACCAAATCACGTACCCAGTTATTGAGATTGGGCACTGCGCCGGGCATCCAGGGAACCGCTGCATCACAAAAGGGGAATATTGGTGAGAAAAGAAATGAAAGAACAAAATAATAGGAGATAACAACAGAATTACAATTATGCTTCATGTTCCACTCCTCGGAAAAAGGCATCTTTTCGGTCAGAATCAGGTCCGAAGTCCTTACTCGAACGAACCTTCCCATCCAGCTTCAATCCTTATCCTCGTCTATACTCGAGAATAGAGCCTTGGTAGCTCGACATTGGAGTTTTATTAACCCTCCTCGAAAAAGGTGAGGACGATATAATCGGACAAGATGATCGAGGGTGAAAGGCATCCCCTTGATTTTACTCACAAAATATCGGATCAAAATAACAATTCGCCAAAAGGAAAGATGTATCTTCAGGAGAAAGGGTAAGTATACACGCTTAAAAACCCTCTCACGTGAGTAGTAATATCCTCTTCAGGAGACGGCACTACCACTTCTTTGTTTTCCCAGTTACAATATTTCTTTATCCACTCGATGTGCTCCCGGGTTATCGAACAAATATATCTCGATACGGGCTCACATCGGCCAGGAACCGGCAAACCTTTATCAAGTTTGAAATCGGAGGTAAGAACATACGCCGCCGCAACGCACTCCTCAGGACGTGGATCCACCAGTATTTTGTCGGCGGCGGATTAGGAAGAAGAAGCTTTTTCTTTTTGGGGGACGGTTTTTAATGTCTTCACCATTTTGGATTTAAAGAAGGTGACAAAGATTCGATAATTTAGAAGAAGAATTTTGCAAAGAAGAATCACAGATTTGCGAACACTGAGAGAATACGAAAAAGAACTTGGAAAATTTGGAAGATTGAAGATGTAAAAGTGGTAAATGATAAAAGGAAGGGTTATTTATAGGTTAAAGCAATGGCGGTTCAGTATCAGCGGTGACAGACCACCATCTAACATGCAGTAAATGCCTTGAAAGACTAAATCGACGGGACAACTATCACGTGCGTCATGGTCGAGCCCAGTGTAAACGTCAGCTTATAATCCGATCGAGCCGTTGAGAAATCATATCGTTTCTCACCACATCCTTCCCGAGAAACGAGGGGACTATCTGTATATGGTCGAAATAGATTTCGAACTTCGTACGATTGATCGAGATCAAAATATAATGGATCAAAGTAAGACTTTGAGATGGGTTCCGAAGATGGTACAAGCAAGCTTCGAGCCCGGGGGACCGATCAATGTCGAGCTCGAATCCAAATCGAACTATGATGCAAAGTAAAGTTATCGAGCTTATGATTCAGAGACCGACCGACAATAACCCCAAATCAATTCAAGGATCCGAGTCAGAATCGAGCTCAAGTCAAGATTGAGAGCTCGAGTCAAGACTGAAAACTCGAGTCAATATCGAGCTCATAGACAAGAGCCATTGCAATCCCACTAGAGGAGAGAATCTTGGCAGGAATTATGAAAAAGTTGATTTATCATGGGTCTCCCACTATATATTTTTAATTATATCTAAAGTAAGATCCCTCTACTATAAAGAGGATGGTTATTATTTCTGTAAGGACCAAGTTTTTTCTTATATTGTAATCCAAGTACCATATTCTCCTCTATTGAAGAGTTATTCTTTAAAGCTTCATAAATTGATTCAACTTGTTTAGTCCGAAAAATCATCTTCTTTACAACCTTGTTTACTTTGCATTCTTTACAATCCATATTTGATATTTCTATTTATCCCTACGGTTTGTATCAAGTTATATCATATATCCTTAGAACTACGTACAAACTCAATTCTATCCGTTTTTCGGGTAAACAAACATTACATTTCTGAAGTTCTTGAGGTCTAAAATAAAGGAAGAAAAAAAACACAGGAAGTTGATCATGTGTTAAATAACACTAAAAAAATTTGTCATGAATTACATACCCTGAACCTTTTTCTGCACAATTAATTTATCTAGATTTACTAGTCATTTAAAGGAAAAAAGTTTTATTGCAAAGCATTCTTGGAATGAACTATAGATTACTCTCCTAAATTAAAAGATAACAACACACCCTTATGAGTAATAATTATTATTTTTTCACAAAAGCAAATTTAGATTCCCACAATCTTCATACTTTAATATCAGGATAATCTTCTCCATTAATGTAGAACCATAATTGTGAATATTATATGCTATAAAAACAGTTCAATGACTCAAAAAATATATGAAAAATGAATTCAATGAAAATATTACTAGTGATCTTCTTTATCTCTCACTCTTTTGTAAATCCTTCTTTGGGAGATTTGATTGACGATGTTTGCCGAAAGTCTAGTGACTACAAATTATGTGTCGAATCTCTTAGAGCGAACCCAAAGAGCTCTTCTGCTGATCAAAAAGGCTTGACAAGAATTATGCTTCAATTGTCTTTAGCTAAGGCTAAGAACATTTATAATGAAGTCTTAATTCTATTGCAGCAAACTAAAGAAGTTGTTCTCAAGCAATGTCTTCAAATTTGTAAGGACAATTATGATGAAGCAGTGGATGACATTACATCTTCTATTGAATACTTAGATGCAAATGAGTTTTTTTTTGCCCGGAGTTTTGCAATAGATGCCACGGATGATTCCAGCTCTTGTGAAGAATCATTCGCTGAACCGCCTATTCGCAAATCTCCATTAAAACCAAAGAGCGACGATTTTCTTCATTTTGTTGAGACAACAGTATCTTTGATAAACTTGTTAAGAAATTCGTAAAAGCATCTCGTTTAGTGTTGCGCCCTAAAACAAATAATTTAGTAAAACATGATAAACAAGCTTTCATCTTAATTATAAGATGCTGTCATAATTACTACATGATTTATCTTAAAGTTTGATTTACAAGTTATTGCCTTCTTTGTCTTTTTACCTTTATATTCAATCTTTATATTAAAATTAACTTGCTAGAAAAATGACATTTAGAATTTGCAACAAGTATTTTATGATTTTTGTGGAATTAAAACATCTAAAGAGTTCCCGGATTTTGAGCCTATGATTCAGGCTTTGAATACCGTGGTGCAACAATGTTAATTACTTGTATCATCTCCCTCACTTTTTAATGTTACTGAGTCACGTTAGTGTAATATTTAGCACTGTTATGTATTGCATTTTGCTCAAATGTTAAAACCAAACGGACCAACAACCCTGAATGCGTGTCAAGTGTCTAGTCATCAAGTTAGGGGTATATATATTTGAATAGTAAGACGATAGAGATTCTTTTGATCCAATAGTATAATAGAAGATAATTTTATAATTTTCTAATAATAAAGGGGTATATCAGAACCTTTTTCGTTAAATCAATTTTAAATATTCATGTGTTTGTTGAAGTTATGCCTTGCCTCTTATATGTGTGGAGAAGGCAGAATGTCCAGTAAGGAGATGTGAGCGGTTAGCTTTGGCAAGTACGAGAAGAGATAGAGGGCGGCCCAAGAAATATTTGGGAGAGGTGATCAAGCGAGACATGGCAAGACTTCGGATTTTCGAGGACATGCCCTTGATAAGAAGGTGTGGAGGTCAAACATTAGGGTTGTATGTTAAAAGATAGTAGAGCACTTCTCTACTTCGTACCGGGTGAGAGGCTAGTCTGATAGTGTTGTGTCCTATACTGCAAGTGGTTATTGTTGTGTCCACACTATTCTTCTACTTTTCATAGTACCTGTCACACCTTCTTTTTCCCGAGGGGGTAGGGGTAGGGGAATTTTTCCAATTAAAGTGACATTATTCGAAATGGGATTCGTTATTTATTTAGAGTCGCCACATGAAATAATTTATGGTGTCCCAAGTCACCGATTTATTTTAGAATCCCAAATCGAGGAAATTTAACTCTCATTTATGGTCTGCGAACATAGAAGACCGGGTAAGAAATTCTGTTAACCCGAGAGAAGGTATGAGGCACTCCCGAATTCCGTGATTTTAGCACGATCGCTCAACTATTAATAATTAGCCTAGTTATCTGATTTAATATATGTTTTATACCTATATGTGCATTTTTATTCCTTTTAACCGCTTTTAATTATTTATGGAACTTATTTGAACAAGTCGCGATGTCGCAAACTCATTTGTTTTTGTACATATTGCGAATCGCGTCACGTGAAATGCACCCGCGATTTATAACATGTTTATTTTTATTATTATTCGAAGTTGAAATCAAGTCGCGTGAAACACGCACTTGAGTTGGGATTTACGTATCGTGACCATGCCACGGGAACCATACCCATAGTCACGATGATTTATTAATCGTGCCTAAAGCAACTAGCACGTGTTCATAATTTATTTTTCCTTACGGGTTTGAGATCTGTGTAAGGTCAAGAGCTATGGAAATCAATTATGAAAAATGGGTCAGCTTTTGCTCTTACTAAATTGGGCATGGCAGAAACTATTTTGGACCAGATAAATTAAATTGGATCGTAGTATAATTGGCCTTTTAAAGCCAATTAATGAGTATGCCCAGTTACTAGTTCATCTCCCCTATCAATTAGTCAATTGCAGTAGTACATGTTTCATTAAGCAAAGCCCAACCACCGGGCTCAATCATTATTATTTTTTAAGTCCAAACCTCATTTTCCAATTTCAACTAACAGACATAGATTTTATCCCCAAAGTTCAAACATTCACTACGTGCCCAAAAATTATATTTTTTTTTATCAATCTTCATGTTAATCATCAAGAAAGTAGCAAAATTTAACAAAGCTAATGAGACCTAACAATTAATACAGAAAAAAAAATTCGATCTTCATGAATCCAATTCAGATCAAATTATATATTCAAGCATAATATCTTAATAAAACAATGATGAGAGAAATGGACCTTTACAAGACTGTTTTGAAGCTCGGACAATGGACAAGGATGTAAATGGAGCCTCTACCAAAATCGACAAATGGAGCTCGAACTCGACGACTCAACTTTGGAGCTGTTGTTTTCTATACAAAAGGGGACTGTTTCGCTGGGTTTTTAGCTCGTTTTTATGGTGCTTTTTAGCTTGGTTTCCAATTGGTTCGGGGCTGGAGTTTAGGTGATAAATTGCAGGATTTTTCGAAAGAAAGCCGAAGAAAGAATAACACGAGTAGAAATTCCCTTATCTTAGAAGAAGAAAAATAAATTTCTCTCAATTCCCTCCTCCCTCTTTTTTTTTTCTCCTTCTCTCCTATTTTTTTCCTCACATTTCTCTTCTATTTATAGAAAAAAATTCGGAATTTTCAGATTTATTTTATTTTTTTTATTTTTTTATTTTTTAATTAAAAGAATTTTCACTTCCCATTTTTCTTATTTTTTTAAAAATAAATAATTCCCCACTTTCCTTTACTTTTATTTTTAAATTTATCACTTTTTTTTTACTTTTAATATATTTAAAATCCCATTTTTTTTTACATTTTTTTAATTTCCCACTTATTTTACTTTTCTTTTTTTATTTTTCACTTATTTTATTTTTATATTTTCTAATTTCCACTTACTTTTACTTTTATAAAAAAAAAATCAGATACCCTTACTTTTATTTTTTAATTCCAACTTTATTTTACTTTTCATTTTTAAATTTCCACATTCTTTTACTTTTATTTTTTTAATTTTTCACTTTCTTTTACTTTTTTTTATTAAATAATTTCTACCTACTTTTACTTTTACTTTTTGATTTTATATTTCTACTTTTACTATTTTTTTAATTCCCATCCGAAATTTACCAAAAAAAAAAAACTAATAATAAATTTATTTATTTTCGTTTTTTTAATTCATTTTATTTAAAAATAAAGATAAAAATAAAAATAAAA